CGCCGCTGTTCTGGTCTGAAAACTAGTCAAGCTTGGTTCGCTTATTTCATACTTAATCTCACCGGAGAACCAATCAACTCAACGCGGTCGAAGAACCACCGTCAGGCTTCGTTTTCGTCTTGCCCTCAGTCCACACATTTTGGGGTTCACCACTAGTAGAGTTTGAGCGTGTATCAGGTTTGATTTATGAATTTTATATTTTATTTACTTATTTATTTTTATTTTTTATTTTGCAACCCCTCATCTTTCTCTCACCACTACCCTCGCCATACCCATGTATCGTTTGGTGTTCTTGAAATTAGGCTAGGGTTTTGATTTGAGAAGTTGGGATAGTTAATTTTAATTTATTTTATTTACTTATTTATTTATTCTTTGTTTTTTTTTTCGCACATTCAAATCCCTTGGTTGTATGTTATTATTGGGTGGCTGAGGCTATTCCATTATGTTGTAGTCCATCTTAAGGAATGTGCATATATTTGTGAAGATATATAAAAAATGCTGTACAATTGATTTTAGAAGAAGTTAAATTTTCCTGTTGTTATCTCTCAGGCTTTGAATCAAAGGACGACCATTTACTATTGGCACATGGAAAATTTTGTGTTCTGCCAATCATATAAAGCAAGGAAAATGGAATTTACAAAAAAAAAAAACAAGGAAAATGGACTTTTCTTCAGATGGACTTTCTATAATTTTCCGTCTAGCTTTTATTGGCAATTCTTGGTTTTAATATTATTTGAAATTCTGTACTAGGAGTTTTTTTTTTTTTTTTTTTTTAATGGGTGTGGATAATATGGGTTGAATTGTCTCTGGTCCTCTATTCAGTTTATTTTACTGAAGTCCAACCTATGGCGTGCTCAATTATTGAAGGTCTATTGGCTATTATATATATGTAACAAATCCTTAATAGATTTCAACTACTGGCTGGAACTAAAATAACATGCTAATTAGAATAATCTTTAATTTAGAATAATTCTCTCAAAAATGGTTGGCACTTCTGTAAGTAATGTTATTGCTTCCCTGTACTAGCCTATATTTTATAATTTTGGGCTTACTATACTGATTCTCAGTTAGTATTTTGTGGGCAATTACTGATATAATTCCTAGAATTACACTGTCATAACACTGTAATTATTTTCTTTGCTGACATTTATGGGTACTCATTTGTTGACAAATTTACCTTTATGTTTCTTTTATTCACTAATTTTTAATCCAGTGTACAATGGCACCAAAAGGAGGACTCATTCTCTAATGACTGAGACTCCTTCTCAGCTGACCATTTCATTGTCACCCAGGTTTTTAATTTATTTATTATAATTTATTTATTTATTTTTTCAATTTATTGTTTTTATATATATATTTATGTTCTGCTGTGAGGACCCTAATTGATTTTAAGTTTGGGGTGATTATTTGCTGCATAAAAATGATAAAAAATTGCTGATTAGCCATTACTTTGCTTATGTGATTGGTGCATAAAAATGATAAAAATTTACTCTGTTTTGTATGCTTGATTAGCTGAGTAGTAACTTGGATAATTTAACCTTCTTAGTATTTAGTTAATTCTCATTAGCTTAGAAATACAGTAAGCTACATAAGGCAAAGGGAAATTGGTTGTAAAAAAAAGAGAAAAAAAAGAAAAAAAGAAAAGAGGATCAGGAGGTAAAAAAAAATCGAAGAAAAAAAGGAACAAGTGATTTTATAAAAAGAGTTCTCTGTTTAAAAAAAAAGGGAGATCTTTGAGCTTGCCGTAAAAAAGGAAAAGAGGAAAAAGGCAAAAGTAAAAAAATTGTGAAGGTGCTCAATAATAAAAAAGAAGAAGAAAGAAGTTATAAAAAGGGAAAGAGAGTTACTAATTTCCCTTTGTCTTGTTTAGGCAAAAATCAGAAAGAGCTAATGAGGACTAGTTAGACACTAAGGGTTAGCTTAATTAGCCAAGTGACTAGAAAAACAAAGATCCTAGCCCTGCCTCATTACAAGCCTTAAAGACCCTTTGATGGAGATAGCATATTGGACTTCAAGTTTCTAAATGGTAGTGTAGGTTGAAAGCATTCATGCATAATGACAATGAGTGACCTCCCTTATAAACAGGAGAGAGTGTGAATGATTGAATGTATCTGGCAAGGAATTCAGTGGAATTTCAATTGAATCATTTTAAGTTAAGGGTTGCAACTAAATGAATGAGCATGAATTTTTGATTGAATGTTTATGTAATTGCTGATTGACTGGAGTTGGGTGATTAATTGGTTGTAGGAATTGGTTGACATTAAACCTGGTCAAAGCTTTAAGAAGAGTGATGTTTTGCACGGATGGCTGATTTAATTTAACTAAGTTATTGTAATCATATCTGCGTTGATATCTAACTTATGAGTGAAGTTTGTCTGATTACTTGAGGGCAAGTAATTAATTAAGTTTGGGGTATTTTGTTAGCTATCAATTATGACTAATTTTAATGGCTTAGTTTTTATAATATTTGAGGTGAAGGCTGGATATTAGTGCATGGTAATGGGCCAAATGAGTACCAATCAGCCCAAAGGTAAAAAAGAAAGAGAGAAAGAGGTAATTTGATGATTTACTATTCTCTTTTGTTATTTTTACTGCAGTTTGAAAGCAAGATCAACTTTTTGAAAGCAAGATCAAATCTGAACCATTGGATGGACAAAGAGATGGATGGACAGCAATGCATTTTGAGGCAGCTTTTTAGTTTTTAGTTAAATAGAAGTCTGAGTCATTTAGGGTCAGATACCGTACTTTTAGTTTCAGTTTACGTTTAGAATTTTGTATTTTCTCTCTTCGAATCTGAGTGTTTGTCTTGAAAGCTGGTGCATGTTCTTCAATTCTTGATCTCGAAGTGCATTGACAACGCAACTTCAAGGAAAGGAACCACGGATCTGCATACGAGCTCCTGTTTTCACATTTCTGATCTTTTTCTTCCTAGCTCTAGTTTAGGAACTTTGACTCTTGAAGAACCGGTTTGTAACTTTACTTTGAGTTTTCTTTCATGAATGTTTGTGATGCATGTTTCTTTACTTTTAGATTTGTAATATTTTTGAATATGGGTTTCTGATCTTTTCCTTTCTGGGATTCACGATGATTGGGTGATCTTTTATTTTTCTGAATACTGTGATGGTTTGCTTTAGTTTCACTTGATTAACAAGATTTTGATTTTAAGTTCAAGAACACCATGGGAATGGGTCTTGAATAATTTTAGCATAGCTATGATTGGGAAATCAGGTTATGTCCCTTGTTAATTGAACCCTTGAGGTTAGGGATAATCCAAGGAGGTCTTTGATATAATTTTTAAAGATTTAGAAGACTTTGGGAAAAGATCCTTCTAAAGATTAAAATCTGGAACTGGGAAGTTTCAGATAAAATAGCCATAGTAATTCGAATTCTGATACTAAAGTGCCGTAGCAGTTATAAAACGCAGGAATGCGAAATTTTTCCTTCATCCATGATTCAAAGAATTCCAGAACCTTATAATTGTTACATTTGTGATTAGATATCTCTCTGTTAAATTTTGTTTAATGCAAGTTTGATAAATACCTTGTTTGATTTAGAATTTTCTTAGTTTTAAAAGATTGATCACTTAATTTCAAGAAATTAGAAATAGGAATTAAAAAAGGAAAACTAAACAACCTGTTCCCTGAGAACGATAACTCTTTCTTTTGAGAAAAATACTACCCAACAATGCCTTGGCCAGCACTACGTCAATGAAGGATGAATATGGCAGCATCACTATGCGGAATTCGTGGATTGTGCAGACTACGAATTTTGTAAAAATCAAAGCAGGTTTGGTTGAGTGACGATGAGAAAAGTTTTTTCTTTTTTTGGTATCATGCAATAACACTTGTAACATCAGAGGTATATATGACCGAAATAAAACTATAAAACTCAATGGGATGGCGCATTGAATTGGTATCCATTACAGTTATTAACATTTAATCCAAACCCAATAGAAAGCTCAAAAGTAGCAGACATCCCATGAAACAAATTCCTACTATAATTTTAGCCAACAAGATGTCCTAAACCACAAAACATTAACACAAATCCAATTTGTCTCAGAAGAGGACCAAAAAACCAACTAGATAATATTCACCCCTGCATCCAGAATTACCAATCCACAAGAAGACTCCCAAAAAGCATTAAGCCTGTAATGATAGATAATCATTAAGGGAAAAAAAAAAACTTCAGTACTGTTATAGATAAATTGTACTTTGAAAAAATGAAACTTTAAACGCAATGAACAAGAAATTTAAATAACGTTATGATTTAAAAAAAAATATGAAAATTTAGGGTTAACATTAAGATAAATACATAAATGCAAGCAAATTGTATAATGCATGGTGCAATTTTGCTACAACTCTCAATGAACTAGAGTGTTAACATTCTCCATATAACATGCATTTTTAACTCAAAATAAGGCAAGAAAGAAATCAATAGCTACCTTGTTGGCTATGTTGTTGGAAAGCCAGTCCAAACCCTCATAAAGACCCTCTCCAGAAGTTGCACAGGTGCTCTGGATGTACCTGAAAGAACCGAAAAAACATGTCACATCTCAACAGGATAGCTCTCAATCCAGGAAGGGCATCATGATCAAAATATTTACCAGTGGCGCTGTCTGAGAGAGTGAAGGCCCAGCTTGTCAGTAATTTCAGCAGCATTCATTGCATTGGGAAGATCTTGTTTGTTAGCAAATACAAGCAATACTGCATCTCTCAGTTCATCCTGAAAAGATAATTAAAATACACCATTTCAAAGATTATGCCATTTCATCACAACAATATCAGAAAGCAATCACATAGGGTGCTAATGATTCTGGTCATAATGCTCATGAACATTAACGTGAAGCAAAGAAGGCCCATCAATAAGAACTTAACTTCCCAGAAGCTTGACTAGTATGAATTGGCTAGTCAACTTCCAAAATATGCCAGCATAGCGATACCAAGTACAAGAGTTATTGCAAATATTACAATACAGAAATAAAACGGGTTGATTAACAAAGTAATTATCAAAAGAAATGCTTTACACAGATAGGAAGACACCCATTGGGAAAGTGAACATCATTTGGTAGACTAATGTAACACCAACAGCAGAGTATCATCATCATTAGCATCGTCAGACCAATAGCAGATACAGAAAAATGCTGACTGCCTCTGCTGAAACAGTTCATTCCTTTCAAACATTCCAATAATAAATTATATATATTTATTTTAATAGACAAACAGATAAGAACCTTTTTCAAAGATTCAATATGATAATTAGAATTCTATTTGCACTAGTTTACAATCCTTTTTGACCTCATTGATCCTAAACCTCATCTATACAAGAGAAAGAAATTCCTTCTTAATGTCAGATGAATATCTAACATGAACACACATGAAAACAAAGATATCAAATATCATATCATGCATGACCTAAAAGCCAAACTAGATTGACTATTGTACCTCATTCAACATCCTGTGCAACTCATCTCTGGCCTCGACAACTCTGTCCCTGTCATTGCTGTCTACAACAAATATAAGACCCTGTGTGTTCTGGAAGTAGTGCCTCCACAAGGGACGAATCTGCAAAAGAAAACATATGTATTCAGCCACTGACCTCCAAGACATATAACTCACGGAACCATAAAGGCCTTATCAAGAAATTTTAAAGAATGCATAAGGATCAAACTTTATACCTTGTCCTGGCCCCCAACATCCCAAACGGTGAAGCTAATATTCTTGTATTCCACAGTCTCCACATTGAACCCTAAAATAAATAAGATAAATAAAAATGGGAAAAGTGTCTATACATTTAAATTACACAACTTACATCCTTTCACTCTCACAAAGAGGTGGGACCCACAACTTTATTTTTTTTGTCAACTCTCTCTCCTCCTTTATCTATCTCTTTCTCTCTCTTAAAATGACACAACTTTACATCCTTCAAAATTATACACACTTTTCCCAATAAAAATATATCCATACATATAACAACAGCATAAATTTTCAGAAACCGCATCCAGTTGATCTATAATATCACCCAATGATACAATCAAACTTCAGAAGTATAGGGATCCAGAAATGTATCACAGATTTATGCAGAAAAAGTTTGCCACTATTAACATGAGGTAAGGAAGCATAATTGTTTCGACAGGTTACATCCAGGGTTTCATATCAAGCATCACAAATTAAGCAGCCTCTAATATCACCAACATCATTTGAGATCTCAGTCTTCAATTTTCAAGCCTTCTTTACGGAAATAATTATGTGTGATTCATTCTGAAAGCTTACTGACGTAAAAGCCACTAAATTTAGTTATTTGACTAAGATAGTTCTACAAGTGGTTAAAAGGACCAATAATGAATATGTATGCACAATAAATTCCTCCAGGTGGAGAATTATACACACACCCATACACGTATTATATTGTACATATAACTCTGGCAAAAAGCAAAATCCAGAAACTTACCAATGGTAGGAATTGTAGTCACGATCTCTCCAAGCTTGAGCTTGTACAGGATGGTGGTCTTACCAGCTGCATCAAGACCAACCATCAGAATTCGCATTTCCTTTTTGGCAAAAAGCCGACTGAAAAGCTTGGTGAATGTCAGTCCCATTTCTCCTTCAGCTTGCGGATCCCTACATTTTCAAATTTTATTCAACATTAACCGCACTGGGTTTGTTTTCGAGATCAAAATCTCAACCAAATCACTTTATTCAGCTAAAAAAAATACCAAAAGAGAATAACAAATGAATTCAGTTTCTTCCAGCAAACCAAATCAAGCTTAATTTAAATCATCAACAGAGAAAATCAAATTAACACCACTGGATTCGCCAGATCTCAAACCAAACAACAACAAAAAGCGACATGCATTTCGATCCGTCGCACCGCATAATCATTACACGAGAACCGAAACGGATCGAACAAAAGAAAATTACGAAATCAACTTGACATTTCCGATAAAAAAGGGAACGATCTGAGAATCTGGATCCCGAATCCCTCAGATCAAACGATTCAAATAGCAATAGCAAACCAAAGGATCCAAAGAAAAATAAACAAATCCAAAATGAAGAAGCTCAAGATGAAAAATCTCAGATGCAAAATATCCAAAAGGGAAGGGAAATTCGAAATTAAATGAAATGAAATTAGGGCCATTAAATCAGCTTCTATGAATGCAAAGGAGGAGATTGAAGACACAAAAATTGAAGTTACCTTGAGGGATCTAGAACCAGAAAGCGTAGAGAGAGAAACGATACAGGAGAGAGAAAGAGAGAGGCGAAGAATGCTTTACAATAACGCAAAATAGTAGTGAGAGGAATTTATAACACAGAGACAGGAGCAGGGGTACCCGAATTATTTGCGCGTTTTGGTTCAAATAACCTTAGCACCCTGGATCTGACTTCCTGCCTTGTTTGGAACCTTCCAAAAGCAATTAACGTTTAATAAAAGAAGATTTTTTTTTTTTTTTTGGATATTAGGGAAAGAAAACAACAACAAAAGCTAACTAAGGATCATACTGGGAGCATTAGGCAGAACAGAAAACTTCCAGGAACCATAGTCCACCAAACCAGCCAAATGGTCAGCTACTGCATTACCAGATCTATTGATATGGCTAAACATCAACTTCCACTCCTTGTTTTTCATGTCTTGTATGCGGTCCACCACTGGAAACAATGGGTGATCAGGATCACACCCATCTTCAATTAAATGCAAGGCATCAGGAGAATCTCCTTCCCAATGGACTTGTTTAAACCCATGCTCCCGAGCCACATGAAAACCCATGAGAGCACCCCATAACTCAGCCTTCAAAGCATTATCGTGGCCTACCTTCTGCGTATATCCAAGTACCCATCTCCCATTACTACTGTGCAGCACCCTCCCACAACCACTTTGAAGACCATCTAGAGAGCAAGCTCCATCTAAGTTGATTTTAATCCAGCCCTCAAGAGGAGGCTGCCAGTTCCCAGAACCATCCTTTAAATTTCTTTGGCTATCATCAAATACTCGAATGGATTTCCCAGCATGTGAAATAACATTAACATAAGCACTGACCTTATAACAGAAACTAACAGGGGAACACACTTCATTCCTGAAGACTAGATTGTTCCTAGCTTGCCAAATCATCCAGCAAGTTGTTCCAAACAGAAGACTCCAGCTTTGCACCATCCCCTTGCCCTCTTTGCACTTCAAGTTACAGCTAAGCCAATCTGAGAAACTACTACCAAAGAAGAAGCTCCTCTTGAACTCAGGATTTCATATCATCCAAACCTGCTTAGCCCAAGGACACTCCCTCATTACATGACTACAGTCTTCACAGGTATGAAAGCATCTAGGACAATGAGCCTCTCCACCCATGTGTCTTCTGCTCCTTTGGTCATTAGTCAAGAGGCTATTCCCTAGAAGAAGCCATAAGAAATGCTTTATCCTTTCTGATCCCTGCCACATCCAAGCACACTTCCACAGATTATTTTGATTAGGCATCTGAACTTCCTCATTTCTAATAAACTGATAGGCAGACCTGACTGAAAAAAGGCCAGTGCTAGAAGGCCTCCAGATGACTTTATCAATCCCAGCCTCCATCTTAGGGTCCTCAACATCAGCAATAACCTTGCAAACTTCTGCAGACAGGTATCTTTCAATCATATCCCAGTCCCAAGCACCATTTTGGGTCACACAATGCGCAACCTTCCAGGATTGAACATCAACAGGCACAGTAGCAGTAGCCTTGTCAATAAGTCTTCCAACTCCAGGGATCCAACAATCCCACCAGAACTTAACTAACCTCCCATCCCCCATGACTATGCTAGATCCTGCCAAAATGTGATCCCAAGAAGCACATAGACCCCTCCACATGTTACTATGACCCACTGATCTTGCTACTCTGGGGACCAGACCTTCTTCAACTTTATATTTATTTCTGAGAACTCCAGCCCACAGTGTCTCCTTCTTTGTTAGTAAACCAAAGCCCACCTTCATGACAAAAGCTTGATTAAAAGCTTTAATATTCCTCAAACCAGCACCCCCAGACAGCTTCCTAGTGCACATAGTATCCCACTTAACCAAATGCACACCTCTCTTATTTTCAGAAGAGCCCCAAATAAATCCACGAGACTGTTTTTCAATACTTTCACACACAGATTTGGGGATCCAAGCTGTTTGCATTGCATGATTAGGCATTGCAGCAATCACTGACTTGATCAACGTCAATCTGCCAGCTAGAGATAGGGATTTGGCATTCCAAGAGCTCATTCTACTCTTGACCCTATCCAAGACATGACTAAATGAAGCTTTAGTGACTCTAGAATGGTTTAAATAAACTCCCAGGTATTTCCCCAGATTAAGAGTGCTTCTTATGCCTAAGCAATCACTTATCTCCTTAGATCTGTTGAGGCTCACATTCTTGGAGAAGAATACCCTGGTCTTATCCAGACTGATATTCTGACCAGAGCTCAAAGCAAACACCCTGAGGACTTGGTTCACCACAAAATCCGGCTCCACAGAAGCCTCCAAGCACAGAAGAATATCATCAGCAAAGAACAAGTGAGAAATTAGAAGGCCATTTTTCCTGAGCTTGATAGGTTTCCAAGCCTTAACCTCATTAGCTACTTGGATCAAATGGGCCAGTCTTTCAATACATAGAACAAAGAGGTGGGGGGGATATTGGATCCCATTGCCTTATACCTCTGGAAGGTTTAAAGAATTTTGTAGGTTTTCCATTCCAAAGCACATTCAGCTCACTAGTGCCAACACACTTATCAATGACAGAAATCAAGCTGCTAGGCAGATTCAACTCAGTTAAAGTGTCATGGATAAACTCCCAACTTAGCCTATCATAGGCTTTTTTCCAGATCTACTTTAATAACCATCCACCCCTGATCACCCTTCTTCCTTTGCATGGAGTTAATGATCTCTTGAGCCACTAGGATGTTATCAGCACTATTCTTCCCTTTGATAAATGCACACTGATTCAGACTAACCAACTTAGGCATCAACTCCCTAAATCTGTCAGCAATGATCTTTGTAATTAGCTTGTAAGAAACATTACACAAGCTTATTGGTCGAAACTCCTTCATAGATTCAGGATTATCTTTTTTAGGAATCAAACAAGGGTGAGTCTGATTAATCTCCTGAATCTTCAAAGGATCAACAAAAGAGCTTCTAACAAATTCACAAACAGATTTTCCAATAACATGCCATTGAGATTGGTAAAATGCAGCATTCAACCCATCTGGTCCTGGTGCTTTAAATCTACCCATTTTAAAAACAGCTCTCTTAATCTCCAGATCATCAGGAATACTGGCTAGCTTAGCCAACTCACCAGCCTCCATCTTAGGGAAAACATCCTTGATGGGATACTCCTCAAAATCCCCCTCCTACACCAGAAACAACTTCTTAAAGTAATTTACAGCCGTATTCACTAGATCATTGGAATCTGCAGTCCACTCTCTCATCTCATTCCTTATGGCCATCACCTTGTTCCTTTTCCTTCTAGCAATGGTAGTTGAATGAAAGAACTTTGTGTTCTTATCCCCAAACTTCAACCAAGAAATTCTAGACCTCTGGAACCAAGACTACTCCTCTCTCAGCAAGATCAGCTCCAATTCCTTCCACAGATCACCCTGCAACCTTACTAGCTCCCTGTCATATCTTGAATCCAGCTCCATATCAATGCCCTAGATCCTAGCATATAGTCTATGCTTTTGCCTCAACTCCTCTCTAAACACAAGATGATCCCAGTTAGAAGCTTCAACCTCAAATTATTTCCTAGCATCAGATCAGGCTTCATTCTTCTCCCAACACTTTTTAACAATATCTCCAAAATTTGGGTTAGTCAACCAAGCAGCAAGGAATTTGAATTGCTTCACACCATTCAACTCACGGCTGCTTCTATAATTACTAACCAATATTGGCCTATGATCCGAATTGAAAAAAGGAAGATGCCCAAGAAACCTGTCAGGCCAAGCCAAATTCCATTCCTCATTGGCACAAGCCCTATCAAGTCTTTCTTTCAAATTTCCCCTCTTCCAAGTAAAACTAGGGCACTTGAACCCAATGTCCGAAAGACCACATTCATCAAGACAGTCCTGCATCTCAAGAATATTCCTCCAACATACCTCCATACCTCCCACTTTCTCACACTGCTTCAAAACCGAATTAAAATCCCCAAGAACAATCCAAGGGAGACTCACAGAGCCTGATAAACTTACCAAATTCTCCCATAAGATCTCTCTCTCACCTCTTCTCGGGCTACCATACACAAAAGTGACTAATTCCTCTCTATTATCCTCCAAATAAAGAACTCTAGAGTGAACAAATTGATGATGAGAGTGATTAACATCTCTCTCATCCCAAGCACCCAAATACCTCCAGAAAACCCCATAGTCTCCTGTTTATAGTATTTAGAAAAATCCAGCTTCCTGCAAACAGCTTCCCCCCTGTCACCATGTAATCTGGTTTCCAGCAGGGCCATCACTTTTATTTTAAACCTAAATTTAAGATCTCTAATAAGGGCAGGAAAAGATTTGTTCCCTACTCCTCTACAATTCCAAGCACAAATATTATTGTTCATCATCAAAACTATATAGAAAAAAAAACAGACCAGATACCAAAACAATCAATATGAATTCGAATGAGAATGCAAGACTACTAAGCTCTTGCAACTTTGCACTCTACTAACTGCCAATTGATCACTTAGTTCTAGGATCTCCTTATCACAACTACCTCCAATCTCCTTATGCATAGAATTGCCTAAAGCATTGCAATTAGAGTTTTCAACTTCCATACCTGATTGACCTTCTAGCCTGATAGTCCCTTCACCCCTACTAGAATCAGGAGGTTCAGCTTCTGAACAGGGGACACCACAGCCCATTGGAGACTCCTTACATGACTGACTGAACTTGCCTTCAGACCAGAAGCTATCATACTCCATCACCAAGTCACTCCACAGCTTCCCATTAAGTTGAGCATTCGGTTGAAGATCATTCAGGTTGGCCTTGCACGTATCACCTCCACCTCTGTTCACAGAAATGGTCTTAGTCTTAAGAACTGGCCCCTTGCCTTTTACACTGGGACTCTTTGGACCTGTCTTTTTATTACCAGGTAAGCTGGTCTTAATACCAGCTGCCTTCTTGACCTGAGAGGAGGCTGCTGCATTGAACTCCATTCCTCCACCAGTAGCCTGAGGCTTCTCCAAGGAGACCTCATTCTCTTTAAGCTCCTTCAACACAGAAGAAGTAGCTACTGTAATTTTACCCTGAGCACCCTCCTGACCCTTTAGGCCACTGCTGGCAGTAACTCTATAACCCATAGTACTCCTCTTGTTAGAG